CTGGTTCAGTTATACTGATTCAGGCCCTTGATGGGTGCTACTAAGATGAATATCACAGACTGGTTCCCAGAATGTGTCCTTTAGGTTTGAGAAGGGGAGAAATATGTAGAACTTCTCACTCTGGATTAAGTGTACCCTGGGATTTTTTGAGACCTGGCAGAGTTTGAATGGTTAATAAAGACTGAGCTGTCACTACCATAGGAAGAACACCCTTCCAAAAGTCAGTACCATCCTATGGTAGATGTACCATACTGGATTATTCCTCACAACATGAACCATAAACCTCCACTTTCCACACAGGCCATTTAATCTCCTCCACTTGGATCAATGACCTGAAGGAAACTGACTAACTTTGTACATATCAATGTAAGGACATCTGCTGTGGCTGACAGTTGAAAGCAGCTGACTTCTTTGTGTAAATTGTAAATCAAGTCATGGGATTACGCAAAGGCAGAAAAAACGTTCAGGAAGAAGAAAAATGAACTTCCAGTTTTCGCCTCTGACATTAGTGTTTCAGTTTTTTAAAGGGCAGAGAGAGTCTAACTATCTCCATTCTCTAATGTAGTAAATTAATTTTTTTCAATGTAATGAATAGCCTGCAATCAGCATCAGGATGTCAGGAAAATGCCACTTTCTGCACAGAGGTCATGCTTTTGTTCTCCAAAACACAACACCTCACATCTCTTTCAAACACAGTAGCTATATAAACGTGAGCACAGACAGAATTTATGAGAAGGCATTCTGGAACTGCATGAAGATCCCCTACTATGTGTCAACATGGAGCAACCTACTATTCCTGAGAGCCTGCTTGTCTGTGGAAAGACTGCAAGATTAGATAGGAGCTTATATTTTCTCCAAGTAAAGACATGCTCTAGAAGTTAACTCTAAACACACCCACTTTTTTCACAGTAAGTCTCAGCACTGGGTACGACCAATGACATATCTGTATTGGTCTCCAAATCATTTTAAAACAGAAGTCTGTCCATTTGTGTTTGTCAATTTCTGCACGTGACCAGCTGATTTTGCCTCAAATAACAATACTGACCACTGAAAAATACACCTTCCTTAAACAAAAGATACTTTTTGTTTCTCTTAAGGTTTATGGCCATTTCCAGTTGCAAACGGCACAAAAGACACATTCTGCCATCCTGATAGTGATTTTAGTCAAACGGAAACAGCAAACTTAGATAACAGACACAAAACCAAGGTGAGGTGGAGGCAGGGAAGAGAGGTGGAAGGGAAGTGAGAAATGCGATCTAGACTCTACTTTGTGATCTAAGAAATTCAGCCTTGGCTGAGGATTAGGTGTGGGGGAGAGGGGTAAAGAGAGGGGAAGATGATGTTTTCTGTTGCAAAAAAAGTGTGTGCTGCAGTCCTGGTTTTTTCTTTCAACAGCATCCAGAGAATGCTTGGCAAGCAAAATCTAATTAAATGTCTAAAATTGATTCAATGTGAATAACACAAGTTTCCCTGGGCCACAACGGAGACATCCAACCAAATCGAGGAACTATACAATTATATAATTCTTCAAAATTTTGAGAATGTTCTGGTGCCCCCCCCCAAAAAAGTTTATGATTATTCCCAGGAGACAGCTATTGATTCAATATCACCATTTAGCAAGATGTGAACCCATCCTGTCATCCTCTTTTAAAGAAGCCGCTAAAGACCTGAGAGCTATTGTCACCTACTCCCCAGGACAGTGGGCCTGATACTGTGTCAAGGATGGAAACCAAACAGTGACCACGAACCAGGGAGTCCCCGGCGTATTCTTTTGAAGCACTGTCACTACAACTGCAAGTGTGCGCGGTTCCTCCTCCCGGCCGCGCGTCCGGAACGTTCCCGGCTGTCAGGTGGGTGGCGGCGAGCCTCGGCTGGGAAGCCCTGCCCGGCAGCGCTGCGCGTCGCGCTGGTGGACAGGGACGAGCCTAGCGGAGTGCGGCAGGTCCCACGGCCGGCCACCGCTCACCTTTGTTCGCCCGTCCGCATGGAGGAGTAACGGAGGCGACCCTAACGCTCCGCGGCTCCTTCCCGGCACCCGGGAGGATATCCGCAGGCCAGCCAGACCCTCTGTGGTTCCCGCAAAGCAACCCGGAGTAGGGGTCAGCAACCCTTTCCCGAACACAAAGGTTGGGAGGCGTGAACGCGAGCGCTGGGGGCGCGGGGGCGTGCGCCACAGAGCACGCGAGTGTGCGTGTGCGCGCGTGTGTGTGTGCGCGCGTGTGTGCAGGGGGAGGGGAGGAGTGCCCCAGCCCGCTTACCTCTCGAAGATGAGCCGCACCATGAAGATGCAGAAGGCCACGGGGAAAGCCAGATAGAGGTCTTCGGCTTGTGGGAAGGTGGCTTCCTCCGTGTTCTTCAGGTCCGCCCAGGTGACATTGTGCGGGAGCCAAAATCTCTCGTTCCAGAACCAGGCTAAGATCCCTGCCATCTTGCTTTGTCCACTTCTGTCCCGTGGATTCCGCGGCCCGCCGAGCTCTCTGCCGCGCAGGGCGCCCAGCAACGCGCGCCGGGCTGGCTCCGAGCCTGTGCCACCGCCGCTCTCGCCCGCCGCCGCCGCCGCCTCCTCCGCGGCCGCTGCTCTCGAAGGCTCGCGGCGAGCCCCGGTTATCTCCTCCCTCTGGCCGCGCTGGGGAAAGGGGCCGCCTCGCCCGTCACATGGCAGCCCGGGCCTCTCGCCCTGATTGGCTGGTGGTCGCGTCAAGCACCCAGGCACACGCGGCCAGTCACCCACGCCCAGAGGGCAGGGCGCTACCGCTGCGCCCTGGGCGCCGGGGCTCTGCTCCGGGCAGTGCCTTCTGGCTTTGCGCTCGCCGCGCTCGAGTTGGTGCGCTTAGGACAGCGTCCTGGAGCCGGCCCCCCAAATCCGCCCTAGTCCCCGGCTTGCTCGCACATGCTCAGAACGCTGGCTCCTGCCCCGCCGGAGTTTCAGGGTTTTCGGTCCTCTTCCCGTGCGCCCAGAGGCGGTGGGGAGCCCGGGTAGGGGCGAGGCTCAGCTTCAGAACCTGCCCTGCACAGCGAGTAGACAGCAAAAGAAGTAGTGGGCGCAGAGAGCAAAGGAGAAAGAAGTAGGAGTGAAAAGGTCTTTTGCTCCAGCGCTTGGAGAAGAGCAAAAATCAGGAACTGAGGCAGGGTGGTGTGGCAAGCGCCTCCGCCTCTGCCCCACGCCTGTCTCTCTCCCATCGCGAGCCTGCCAGCCTCCTTGTACTACTGTGTCTCATCAAAGCGGCTCCCTCAAGGAACCAGGCCCTCTATTTTGAGTTATGGGGTGGTACATTAAATTGGGCACTTAATTGCCATTTAGTTACTAATTGCTATTTGATGATGATGACAGCAACTGCAGCATTCGGTCAAACCGCCCCCTCAACTAAGGTCTCTGGAGATGGTGTTAGACCACATTTTGGCTTTACAGATCATGAGAGAAACTCAGCTCTGCTACTGGGCAGGCTCATTCTTTCTGCCTTTTGGATCAGAAACCTTTAAGGTAGTAGGCCTGTGAGGCCTAACCCAGGCACTTCCCTCCCTCCCATAGTACACGTCCTCATTGAGACAGGAACCAAATATGGATTAGTTCAGTGGCCCTCTAGACCTGGTTCCAGGCCATGTTTCCCTCATTTTTCTCACAATTACCCGCTTTCTTCACGGTTCTGCCAGTAAGTTCCACTGGATCTTTCCAATGCGCATGTGCACAGACACACAAGATTCTTTACTCTGCCTTCCCTTCCAGTTACCACCTTCTTTTCCCTTCTTTCCCTTAAAGCAAAACTCTGAAGTTCGTATTATACCGTTGCTTCCAATTTCTCTTCCCTTGTTCTCCTTTGAGCGTCCATTTGGGTTATTTTCCTTCTCCACGTCACTGAAACTGCTCGGAGTTACCAATGCTATTCGTGCTGCTAAGCACCAAGGTCACCTTGTCTTGTGGAAGCTGCTTCACTGGGCAGCTTAAACAGTAGAATGTATTTCCCTCGGTTCAGAAGGCTGAGAAGTCCAAGATCAAGATGGTGGCAGATCCAGTCTGCCGAGGACCCTCTTCCTCAGCGGAGGAAGTTTGTTGAGACCCTCTCCACAGCTGCCCGGCGTTTCTTCCTAGGTTGCAGGCAACTGTGGGTTTTTGTTGTTGTTATAACCTCACATAGCAGAGAACAAAGAGAGAGGAAGCAAACTCTCTTATAACGCTCATGAGGGCGCTGATCCCATTCCTGAGGACTCTATACTTATGAGCTAATAATCTCCTAAAGGCTCCATCTCCACATACCATCACATCAGAATTAGGGTTTTAAGCATATGAACTTTGGGAGAACACAGCCTTCAGTTCATAGGCGTTCTTGAACAGTTGCTCAATTCCTGGCTCTTGAAACATTCTTCCCTGGCTTCCAGAAACCACACTTTTCTGGATGTCTTCCTCCTTCGTAATCACTTCTGCTCAGTCTTCTTCCTGGAGACTCCTCACTGTCCCGACCCATAGAAGCTGGAGTAGCCTCTGAGTCAGTCTTTCATCCTCTTCACTTTTCTATCTGCTCTCATTTACTTGGGAATTTTATACAGTCCTGTGGCTTTTAATGACATCTGTGTAGCCTTCAACAGCACACTAATAGCTCCCACATTTATATCTCTGTCCATGAACTTTCCCTGAATGTCTGACTCCTAAATCCACTGTCAATTTAACAATCCCACTTGGATGTCTAAAAGCCAAACTGCCAATGACCAAACTATTAATCTTCCTCCTAAAATCTCTTCCTCCTGTAGTCTTGGCTCAGACCAAAAACACAGGGTCATATTTCCCCTTCTCTCTTTCTTTAACACTTCCATTCTTATCCATCACCAATCTCATAAGCACCAGTAGTTGAACCATAATCTTACCATCTTTCCCCATTTCTGCTGCCATCTTAGGACATTTCTCACCTGTGTCCCCCTAGTAACCTCTCAAGTCTCAGTTTCAACTCTGGTCCTTCTCTAGTTTATTCTTAGCTAGAATGATCATGTTAAAATGTGAATCACATCACTGCTGTGATGAAGGCCCAGCTTCACCCTTATTGCTCCCCACATGGAACCAAAGTCATGACAACGTGCCGTTTGGCTACATGTTAACTCTTCCTCAGTGACTCAGTACTCTCCCTTCCTCTGCTTCAGCCACGCCGGCCTCTTGTCCTTCCTGGGACACACCAGACATGACTTGCAGCCTTTGTGCTTGGTTTTCTCCCTCCCTAGAACGCTTTCCCACAGATATCCATGTCTGCTCTTTCCGGAATGTCACTCTCTCTGGGTGAAGTCTTCCCTGGCCACCCTAGTTAATCTACAACACTCACTCTTCCTCCTCCACCGCGTTTATCCCCATAGCCAAACATATATTTTACTTATGTCTTTATTGGTCTTCCCCAGCACACATCAAATGTGTGTCTATTTTATCGACTCTTCTATCCCTAACATGTAAAACAGTGCCCAACACATAGTAGGAACTCAGTAAAACTACTGCATTAATTAGTGAACATTACTCCAACCTTAACATAAAATCTTCTCTAGGAGAAGAAAAAGTCTGGATAACTGTGTTACTGTTCACATATCCATGCTAGACTCATGTGAAGAATAGGGTGGGCATAAAGAAGACATGGTCAATTCTGGATTCGGGGAGGGAAAGTGTCATTGAAGTGAGTCTTCCTCAGTGAGCAGATGTCACCATCCTGACTCCCGACAATGTGGCCAGCTATTCAGTGTTACTGGACATCTTACTAAAGAAAGATGCATCAGCCCCACCTGCAGTCTTATAGGCCATAGAGAGGAGGTTTGTTGAGGCCTCTCACCACCTTTGAGGCCAAAGGTCATGTGGGGGTGGAGCTTAGCCCCCACCAGACCCTCTCCACAGCTGCCCCAGTTTCTTTGTGTCACTCCCTTCTGTGTAACCTGATAGTATCTTGCCTCCTACCCTGGGTCTTCTATACTGTCCAGCAGCCCCTTCTCCATCCCCAAGCATGCACAATAATAAATGTTGGTGAGTTAATGCCCTGGGGCCTGAACTTTTATCCTGGGTGATGGAAAGTAGTGGATACAATTTTACTCCTTTCCCTCCCCTCCCCCTCAGACACACACAGTAGCTTCTAAGGTCTCTCTGAAAATATCCTAAGATGCAAACCAACCTGCGTATTTTAAGGTTGGGCCCACTGAGACCTCACCCCTTTATATTTCCTCTCCTTTTTCTCTGTCTCACCCCTGGCCCTTTTCCCTCATTCTTGCGTCGTTGAAACTACACTTCCTGGGAGCTTCTCTTTTTTTTTCCTAGAAAAGCCAAAAGCCAAACTAACAGGAAAGCAAAAGATAGTGTTGGGCAGCGCCTGTGGCTCAAAGGAGTAGGGCACCAGCCCCCTATGCTGGAGGTGGCAGGTTCAAACCCAGCCCCAGCCAAAAACTGCATTAAAAAAAAAAAAAAAAAGATAGTGTTGCTCTCCCATTGACAACCTGGAGAAGACATTGGAATTTCAGGAACACTTAGATGTATGAGTTTTGTTGACCAGTAGAAGGAGGATTTAGTGCTTATCTGTGAATCGTGGTGTTTCTTTGTCTCTAAGAGCATGTTAATGCCCTCCTGTGCAAGTTGTGAGCCAGTAATCCCGGTCTTGCCTCTATCACCTGTCAGGAGGTTCATAGAAGAAACATGTGGGGAAGAACTTATAAACTATTGACCTGTATACTGTGTATAGTATGGCAAACATCTGCTCTCTTATCTGTCTACCAAAACCCGTGGCCCCTTCTTACCACCCTTCATCCAAATGATTACCCTAGAAAAAGAATAGAGTGAAATATTATTGCATGTCTGACCACATTTTGTTGGTCCAGGGATAGGCTGTTGCCCCAAGATAAAAATTAAAGTCTGTCTTCTGGTATTAGGGATTGGGTCGAGACAGTCTTCCTCTGGACACTTGGATTCAAGGTTTCAAACTCAGAGGCTATCGTCCCCCTGTTTTATGATACAGCTAAGAAAAGCAAAAGCTGGTCAGGCGCCGTGGCTCGTGCCTATAGTCCTAGCATTCTGGGAGGCTGAGGCAGGTGGATTGCTTGAGCTCAGGAGTTCAACACCAGCCTGAGCCAGAGTGAGACCTCGTCTCGAAAAAAATAGCCGGGTGTTGTGGCGGGTGCCTGTCCCAAGTAGCTGGGACTTACTTGGGAGGCTGAAGCAAGAGAATCACTTAAGCCCAAAAGTTGGAGGTTGCTGTGAGCTGTGATGGCATGGCACTCTACCAAGGGCGACAAAGTGAGACTCTGTCTCAAAAAAAAAAAAGAAAGAAAGAAAAGAAAAGAAAAAGCTAGTCTGCAAAAAGAGAAGAATGAAGCAGCCTTGCAGAGTTCAGGTAAGAGACATGTAGTGTCCTGTTGACATTGGAGCTCCATCTTTAGGTTCTATGAAAAAGTCTTATATCTTCATGATAAGTTCTCCTTTTTAACTGGCTTGCTGTTATTTTAATCCCCAGAGTCCCACTATTCAAGACATTCTCTAAGAGACATGTCTTTAACACCATGATGAGCTCAGCACCGGTCCTAGGGAAGCGTTGGTCACAGGAAGGACAAAGCACAGCACCTCCCAAGAAAGCCACTTTATCCCTGTACAGAAAAGACTTCTATTTGCCTAGGAA